GAAGTGTTTTATTCTCATGGCTCCAAACCTACCTGTCACTGACCCTCCCGTGAATACACGACCTGCCCACCTTTCTCCATCTTCCTCCCGTGAGACCCATGTCTCTACACATGGCCCTCCATGTGCTGACACCAGGCTGAGGTAACCTCTCCAGCCCCAGCAGGGCCCACTCCTCCCCACAAGCAAATTCACCTCAGTTCACCCCCTCCCTCCCCAGACCACACACACTGAGTTATAAATACACGTGTGTCTTCCCAGGATGTACTCGCTGAGCACATCTGAACACAGCAGACTCTTCCCAAACCTCCAAGGCCATGAAAACAACAAAGAACTCTCGCTGCCTCTCCCCACCCGATTGTGAATGTATTTGTTACAGAGATTATGTGAGTGGATCCCAAGAACCCACAACACCATGTAGAATTCAGATCAGCTCATCACGCAGTGGTCAGATTAAGGTCAGAGTGTTAACACTGCTGGCTATCAACACCATCCTCCTACAGAACATGAATCTCCAGGGCCTGGTGCCATGACTGGACATGGTAACTACTCACTAAATGTTAGTTGATTGACAGGGTGGTGGAAGGAAGGAAGAGAATTTGCATTTACGGAACTCAGGAAAGGGAAGTGTCTCACCCAGATCACACAGCCTCTCTCTGTAAGAGGCCTGTAACTGGAACTGAAATTGGGCCGGCTCCCAGGCTAAGACCTCCCCCTGCCACTTCTGGTTCCGGGACCAGAGTCACTCTCTGGACTTGGGCTTGGCGGGGAACAGGCAGAGTGGCAGGGCCGTGTGGGGTCTGGTGAGACTCGCATCTGGTCTGAAAGGTCGCAGGGCCTCTGCTGTCGGGCGTCCTTCAGGGAGAGCAGAGCAAGGCCCCGGAGGGGGTGTTCCCCTTCCTGTAAGGCCTCTCGTGAGGAACCCATGATGGAGACCACAGAGCCTGGGCCATGTCACACCCTGTGCATGTGTCTGTCCTGTGGACTCTGAGGACTTTTAAGCTGTCTGCACCGCTGGGACCATGGGAGGCAGCGTCAGGACCCAGACCCTCACCGCCCTTCTGTGTCTCGGTGAGCTTTCTGGACAAGAGGAGGGATGGGTGGCTCCCGCCCTGCCCCCAGGCCCTGGGCCCTGAGAGACCTCAGGACTTGGGAGGCATGTTGGGGGCAGGACTTCTGGGGGCCAGAGAGTGACCCCCGTGGTCATTGGACCCGACTGGGCCTGGAACAGCTACATGCGGGTGGGGGGACACTCTCACAGGGAACTCTCTTCCAGGGCTGTGTCGGGGTCCGTGGGACCAGGTACAGGCAGGTGAGTGCTCCCCAGACCTCCTGTTTCCACCCAACAACCCGCTGGGCAGCTGGGGGGCACAGAGGGTCTGGGCTGATGGTGACCAGTCCGGGAGGGGCCTTGGGGTGACAGGTGGGAAACAGGGGAAAAGGGCACCCTTGCAATTCCCCATCTGACTCCTTTCCAGGGTACCTTCCCAAACCCTCCATCAGGGCTGACCCCAGCCCCAATGTCACCAGCGGGACCCCTGTGACCATCTGGTGTCAGGCATCTCTGCAGGCTGATGTCTACCATCTGTATAAAGAGAGGGTCTCAGAACCCATGTCCATGGAGATCTCACAGGAGTCCAGCGACAAGGCCAGTTTCTCCCTTGGATTCATGAGTCCGCACGATGCAGGGCGATACCAGTGTCAATATCACAGCAGGAACGGCTGGTCACAGCGGAGTGACCTCCTGCCCCTGATGGTGACAGGTAAGGCAGAAGCTGGCCCCTCCCCTGGGGCCCCTCCTCCAGGTGGAAGGGAACAGTGTGGCCTCAGGGGACTCTCGCTCACTGTCCACACTGGGGTACGTGGGGCGATGGCCCCTTTAATGCTGCCCCTCCTTCTCCCTCAGGAGTGTACAACCCACCCTCCCTCTCAGCCATCCCAGGCCCTGTGGTGGCCTCAGGAGGGAACGTGTCCCTCTCCTGTAGCTCACCACATCCATGGCAAACCTTCCGTCTGCTGAAGGAGGGGGGAGCTGACGCGCCCCGACACCTGGAATTGAAGTTCCCTCGTGAGAAGAGGCAGGCACTGTTCCCTGTGGGCCCCGTGAGCACCTCCCATGGGGGGACCTACAGGTGCTACGTTTCTCCAGCTTCCTACCCGTATGTGTGGTCACTCCCCAGTGACCCTCTGCACCTTCAGGTCACAGGTGAGGGGCCCCTGCACTGCCCTGCCCCACCTACTTCCTGGGCCCAAATGACTGACCTAAGCCGTGTGCCCAGTGGAGCCCTGGGGGATGATAGAAAGTGGGTGGGGCACTGGCCTCCTGAAGTCAGACGACAGATGGAAGCTATGGTGGAGGGGGGGGTGCTCATGAGAGCCTCGCCTCAGGCCCTGGGGCCAACGTGGGGTGTGCATCCCCTGGTGCCTCTGTCCCCTCCCGTCCAGGCGCCTACAGGGAGCCCACCCTCCCAGCCCAGTTGGGCTCACTAGTGCAGCCTGGAGACAACCTGACCCTCCAGTGTCAGTCTGAGGCTGGATTTGACACATTCGCTCTGATGAAGGACGAGGGGCTCACACCTCCCATGTGTCTAGATGAGCAGCCCAGACCAACTTCTCTCTGGGCTGTGTGACCCCCACCCACGGGGGCCAGTACAGATGTTATGGTGGACACAACCTCTCCTCCACATGGTCGGTCCCGAGTGCCCCCTTGGACATCCTGATCACAAGTGAGGAGCCCCCTCCCCTTGACCAGTCTGTTCAGGACCCTGGACACATGGTCACTGCTTGGGGTGATGGGATCCAGGTGGAGAGTCAGAAGCAGAGGCTGAGATGGGGCTGTGGTCTAAGGAAAGAGACTGAGAAACGGACAGTGAGGGCCAAGGAAATAAAGGACACTCATAAGAGAGACAAGAGGAGCTGAAAGGGAGTCACACAGAGTCCCAGCAGAGAGGACAGTCATCACCCAGCTCAGGGTCAAGGGTGTGTGAAGGGGGAAGCAGATCTATACAGGTCATGAATTTTCCTCCCGCAGGCCTGTACAGGAAACCGTCCCTCTCGGCCCAGCCAGGGCCCTCAGTGTCCTGGGGAGAGAATGTGACCCTGCAGTGTCGCTCGGAAATCTGGCTCGACACCTTCTACCTGTC